AAGATATATATGGACTTTGGTGCACCACTTACATAAAATCGGACGAAATTATATATGAGAGCTATATCTAAATCTAAACCGATTCAAAAAATTCAGTACGCTGTACAAAAATTTGTCTCAATAGGACCAACATTGGCAGTATGGTGCACCATTTACATAAAATCGGACGAAGCTATATATAGAAGCTATATATAAATCTGAACCGATTCCAGCAAAACTTCGCATACATCAATCTGGACCTAATTCAGTATGCTGTGCAAATTTTTGTCTCAATCGGACAAATATTGCCAATATGGTGCTCCATTGACAAAAAATCGACGAAACTGTATATGTTAGCTATATCTAAACCTGACCTGTACTTTGCTCACAAAAATACATGGATGTACGGACGGTCAGACGGACATGCATAAATCGACTCAGAAAGTGATTCTTTGCATATTCTCAAGAGGAACCATGGGTCTATCTCGATTCCTTTTGCCTGTTACAAACATATGAAAAAAGACTTAACACCCTGTACCGCACTGTGGTGAAGGGTATAAATATTAATCGATCATTACCAAAAACAATAGGGTCAAAACCGGACCAACATGCAAAATTTCGTGATGATTAGTCCACAACTGTGGCCTGTAGCGTGTTTACAAATTTTAATGGACGGACACACATGTCTAGATAGACTCAACTATTCGAGATGTGACGATCGGTATGCTACAAACTCTTGGGAGTAGTGCTGGTGGTGGTTTATGCCTTAAACGCTGGTAGAGTTGGGTGTGGAGTTGCCGGGTGCCTTACCTATAGAATGGAAGGTTTTTGATGTGGACTCGGCTCCCCACTCATAAAGGTGATCGAGTCCAAATACCTGTTATAAGTGGATATTTTGATTTATAGATGGGGGCGTCGGTTGAAGCCTTGTATTGACTGATATTTAAAGGTGGTGTATGGTTTGATTTTTTACTGTTTATTGAACGAATTACAACATCAGGTATTTGCATAACTCTTCCAAGTCCAAATGATTGTCATATAGTGCTCTACTTGTGTAACATACAAAAAATATTTTCGGTCTACTATCCCTTGGATACCTTACCATTTTCGGTCTACTATCCCTTGCATACCTTACACAGAAATCTTACTCTTCTTCCAGTTAACATAACCTATAATAAAAAAAACTTATTTCGAAATTGTTTACATTAAATTGAAATATAATAATGAAATTGTCTTACTTCCTATGCAACATTTCCTCCACAACAAATTCGAAATTTTTGTCTCCTTGGCTATCATGTTCCAAATTTTGTGGTCGTTTGGTGTGTTTATGTATTGGTGTGGTTTTACACATTGGTATGCATTTAACTTTGATATTATTGCTGTTATCATCATCAATGGCAAAAGTTCGATATGTAAAGCAATTGTTGCTTTTATTTTTGTCAAAGTTGTTGTAGTTATTGTTGTCGCTGCTACTACTTCTACTGCTGATGGTGGTTTGAAAATGTTGCTACTGCATTGGTTGATAGTCGGTTGGTAAATCGACTCTCTGCATTGGCATATTTGTGGGTCGCATAGTTTGCTTGATTGCATTTTTGGTCATTAAAACAATATCAGGACGTGATTGGTATTTTAAGTATTTCTACGCACATAGACTGACACACACACACAAACATGCATATATACATATTTGTTTATTTCCATGTTTGTGGTAAAAATAAAATTTGCTGTTGGCATTGTAGGGGTGTGTGGTTGTGTGTGTGTGCGTGGAGTTTTATAAAGACACTAGTTTTTATTAACTGCCTGTAAATTCCGAAAAATTCTTCTCAACTAAGTTTTGTGCATCCTGCAGGGTTATATATACATATATAGAGAAATTCCTGCAGTTATTATATTCCACACACTCGGATGATTGAACAATTCACTCCAAGTCAAACTACCAAGTCAATTAAAACTGCAAAAATTTCGATGAAATTTAAAGAATGCTGTGAAAATATGTTTTGTCAGATTGCAGCAGAACACATTAAGAGTTCAATTTAGAAATATTTGAGGTAAAAATTAGAAATGTTTTGTAAGCATAGAATGAACAACAAAATTCCGAAATTAAAATTGAATTGAGTTTTGGTTTAATTGTAATAAAATTAGGAATTGTGCAGTGATTTGTTGGTGAGGGAGTGTTGGAGGTTATTGATGGTCAGTAACATGTAGAGAATTCCAAAAAAAAATGTCAATTGTCAAGTCAAGCCAAACTAGAAAAAAGAAAGTGACAAGGAAACATTATGCGACAAGTTTCGCCGTTTGATGGAAATGTGGCTCTACAAAAGTGGTTACTTTAATTGCATCTGCGATGTGAATCCAATCGTATTAAGGGTCGAAATTTGTTATCACACCAGAATATTCCTTTTCAGAACAGATTAATTCAGATTGCGCTCTGTTTGAATATCTTACATACTTAGCTGGCCTGTGACAGAACTTTCGTTCAATAAGCCGAGCTTAAAAAATATATCCAGGCGCGTCGGTCTTTTGCGCAGTTTTTCCAATTTTATATACCATTTTCGGCAATGTTGTCTTCCATTTGATCTTTCCATCGTATTCGTGGCCTTCCCCTTCTGCGTGAACCATCAGCTGGTTCGCTTTTATATGCCTTCTGGGCTGGGGCATCTTCATTCATTCTCACAACATGACCTAGCCAACGTAGTCGCTGCAGCTCAATACGTCTAATAATTTCGATGTCCGAGAATAGCTGGTACAACTCATGGTTCATTCGACGGCGATATTCACCGTCAACGCAAATCGGCCCATAGAGCCTTCGGCCAAACACTCCCAGAGCTGCCTCATCTGCTTGCGTAAGTACCCATGCTTCAGATCCATATAACAGCACGGGTAGTATCAGCGTCTTGTAAAGTGTGAGTTTGGTCTGGCGGGAGGTGGCCTTGCTTTTGAGTTGTTTGCTCAGACCATAGTAGCATCTCATCTGTTGGCCATCACTATCCTCCTCCGAATTTCAAAACTGATGTCATTCTTTTTATTTATGGCCGTACCAAGGTATATAAAATCTTTAACTACCTCGAAGCTGTAGTTCTCAAGTTCCACAGTTGATCCGAGTCTACTGGACGTCTTGTGCGTTGATACCTTCAGCTTGGTCTTCTCGCCGTTTACTGCCAGACCCACTTTGCCACACTACTTCTCAATTTGTTCAAATGTGGCTGTTACCGCTCGAAATGTTCGACCCATTATATCAATGTCATCGGCGTAGGCGAGTAACATGTGTTGTTAGGTGTACAGAGTGTCATTTATGTTCACTTTTGCATCTCGTATTACCTTTTCCAGCAGGATGTTAAAAAGGCCACACGGCAAACTATCACCTTATCTGACTCCTCGTTCGGTATTTAAGGGCTCCGAGAGGTCCTTTCCGACTTTAACTGCTGATATTGTTCCAATTAAAGTTATCCTGCATAGCCGAATTAATTTTGCAGGAATGCCAAACGCAGACATGGCTTCATACACCTCTTAACGGATAGGGCTGTCGAATGCGTTTTTATAGTCGACGAATTGGCGGAATGTGTCGATGTGTTTTTCGTGGGGTTTTTTCACGATTTGTCGCAGAGTGAAAATCTGGTCAATGGTGGATTTGCCACGTCTGAAGCCGCATTGGTATGGTCCAATAATGCCATTGACCATTGGCTTCAATCGTTCACACAGTACGCACTTTATATGCGATGGGAAGGAGACTTATTCCTCTATTGTTGGCACATATCGTCTTGTCTCCTTTTTTGTGCACGGGACACAGGATGTTCATTGGGCATGCATTCTTCTAACCAAATTGTACTAATCAGCTGGTGCATGCTCCTTACCAGCATCTGACCACCAGTCTTGAATTGTTCGGCTTGTAACTCATCTGCACCTGCTGCTTTATTATTTTTCAGCCGATTGATTGATATTTTGACTTCATCTTGGCTAGGTGGTATACACTCTATAATGTCATCTATTATTGGATCTGGGGTATCCTCTTCACCGCTACTATTTGATACCAGAAGTTTTTCAAAATGACTCTTCCAGATCCTCTGCACTGCATCTGTCACCAGGGTTACTTCTTTATCCCACAGAAGGATGTGCCTGCACCAAAGCTTTCGGTTTGGTGTTTTACCCGTTGGCAGAATTTTCGGACTTCATTCTGACCTCTGTTCATCTCGATTTGCTCGCGCTCACGTTTTTTCTTGTTCTTTCCTCTTTTTTCTGAAAATACGTTTCTCCTCTATCCTTTTCTCCCGATAGTTCTCCATCGCATTACGTGTTGCTCTGTTTAAATATTCCACGATTAAATTTCCATTAAAAAGTCTATGTGTCAAAGTATTCTCTATTATTCGTGGTTTTGAAATTATTAAAATTCCCTTTAAATGGACGGCTAGAGAACTGGTGCTAAAAATTAAACTTCCTTTTGAAACCCATCCTGGAAGACTTAAACAGGATAATGAAATAGAGGACTTGAATAGGTTAATTAAATTCCTTAACACCTCACGGGATTTTAAAATTTCTATAAAAATCCACGTCTACAACTTTGAACGGTGTTCAAAAAAATTTTTTTTTTAATTTAGGCAGGGATGCCTGGATTCGTTTCCGACTCCTGTGGCCCTTGCATCGCATTTTCCTTGCCATTCTTTGCAAGCTTCTGTGTTACCCGCTTTGCTACTGGTTGCTACTCATCTGAGGATCGCATCCTCTTCACAGCCATTGGCTGTGCTTGAGGTCCAGAGTTGCAGACGCCGTCGAAGTCGACACATCCTACTTCGCGTTTAACATTTTAGTTAGTTTTTGGAATCTTATTCAACTTTTAAGGATTTGGGTTTTGTTGCTCGGAAAGGGATTGGGTTATCGGATTTTTAGAGGATCTTTTTCTGGGCAATCTATTCACGCTCTTAAATTCTTTCGCACTGCTGAATACTATTTTTAATACATAAAATTATCATCCAGGCCATCTAATTTCTCATAAAAATTTACTTTTTCCTTAACTTCCCTCCCCACAGCCTCAAATTGGAATATTTCGAACAGGCCTGTGCCGTTGATAGTGTTACGAAAAAATGTGCTGGTCGTCCTAGTGGCTGTCGCACAGCAATGATTGGTATTTTAGGTACAACATTGCGAACAACATGTGCCTGTCATGGTAATGATCCCCAGTATTTGTATCAATGTGTGGGCTGGCGGCGACTACTATGGATGAATCCTTGTGTGGGTAAGTACGAACAACAACCACTAAAAAAACAGAAATTTCCTTTTCCACTTAAAAATTTGAAACTAAATTTCCATTTTTATTTCCGACTTTCAGTTGAAGCTCAAAAAGATTTCCATATGAAACGTTTGGCCGAGCTGGGCTATTTGACAACAACGTCGACTACAACCACTACAACAACTACGACGACGACAACAACAACAAGAGCACCACCGCCGCCACCACCTCCTCCGCCAACAACAACAACGACGACAACAACACATCGTATGCCACCGCCAGTGGTAATACCACCAAAATCTGGACGTAGGCCACCGTCATATGTAAGTGAACATTTTTTTTTTTTTTGAATGAAGAAGAGGAAATCGAAAAAAACAGTGACGAAAGTAGTAAATTCGGACTGGGCCGACTATATGATACCCTTCACCACTTTGGATATATTCTACATATATATCCTAACAGACGTCGCCTTTTCGAAGGAACATTGACATGAAATTGAATAAACCTGAATACGTTATTTTTTAAGACATTCTGGCAAGTTTAGAGTCGTTTGCGTACAATGGGGCAAATTTTGTAAATCGATTTTTTGATACGTTTCGTGCCAATCGGAGCAACATTTACCTAAACTCCAACGAAAATACAAATGCGAGCTATATCTAAATCTGAACCGATTTCCACAAAAGTATATGTCAATCGTACAAACTTAGGGCTTTAGTGCACACTTTACATAAAATCGAAGGAAAATATATATGGGAGCTATATCTAAAATTGAACCGATATTTACGCAGCTTAGCAAACTTCATTCTAGACTATGCTAAATTTCGTGCAAATCCAATGTTATATAGGAACTTTGGTGCACCATTTACATAAAATCGGACGAAACTATATATGGGAGCTATATCTAAAACTTAACCGATTTTCCCGAAACTCAGCACACATCATTCTAAACTTAATTACGTACGCTGAACCAAATTTAGTGAAATATTAGGACCATTTACATAAAATCGGAGGAAACTATATATGGGATCTATATCTAAATCTGAACCGATTTTCACGAAACTCCTCACACATCATTCTAGACTTTGTTGAGTACGTTGCGCTAAAATTCGTTCAAATCTAATGATATATAGGGACTTTGGTGCACCATTTACATAAAATCGGACGAAGCTATATGTGGGAGCTATATCTAAATCTGGGTCGATTTTCACGAAACATACCAGACATCATTCAAGGCTCAATTCGGTACGTTATGCCAAATTACGTGCAAATCGAAAGATATATAGCGACTTTGGTGCACCATTTAATGAAATCGGACGAAACTATATATGCGAGCTATATCTAAATCTGGACCGATTTTCATGAAACTTGGCAGACATCATTTTAGGCTCAATTCACTACGTTATGCCATGAAATGAAATCGGACGAAACTATATATGGGAGCTATATCTAAATCTGGACCGATTTTCTCGAAACTTGGCAGACATCACTCTAGGCTTAATTCAGTACGATATGCCAAATTTCGTGTAAATCGAAAGTCATATAGTGACTTTACATGACATCGGACGAAACTATATATGGGAGCTATATCTAAATCTGAACCGATTTTCACGAAACTCAGCACACATCATTCTAGACATTATAATGATATATAGGGACTTTGGAGCACCATTTACATAAAATCGGACGAAACTATATCTAAATCTTAACCGATTTTCACGAAACTCAGCACACATCATTCTAGACTTAATTGAGTACTCTATGCCAAATTTTGTGCAAATCGAGAGATATATATGGGGACTTTGGTGTACCATTTACATAAAATCGGACGAAAAAATATATGGGAGCTATATCTAAATCTGAACCAATTTTTCCCAATTTCAATAGGGTTCGTCCTTGGACCAAACAAATGAGCTATACCAAATCGGATTATGTATGCGACCTGTACTTTGATTACAATATAACACCATATGGCGGACAGACGTACGGACGGACATGCATAAATCGACTCAGAAAGTGATTCTATGCATATTCTCAAAAGGAACCATATGTATATCTCGTTTCCTTTTGCCTGTTACAAACATATGCACAAAGACATAATACCCTGTACCATATTTTCTAGGGATACTTCTATGGACAAGTTGACTCATTATTTTTTTTTTAATTTTTAAATTCCTATAAAAATCAAATATGTGTGCATTTAAAAGGATTTAGAGCTTAGATAGAATTTTAAATTCCCTCAAAAATGTAATTAATTTCTTTACAAAAATTCAACCATTGAGACCGCAAAAATATCGTTTTTTTCTCTACCCAAACTCAGAGGCTTCCATTCTTGGTTGAATTCCTTCTTTTCTAGGTTGGGATCTCCCATTCATATTATGGAGATCATAACGGGGATATAAAATAAAAAAGTATTTAATTTTTTTTTCTAAACTTGATTTCGAAATGAGAAAAATCTAATTAAAATGTTTATTATCTTTAATATACCACAACTTCTTCATATATTAATTCCATAATGTCAGCGAAAAATCCCCATCACAAGTCGAAGCATAAATGGGGGAAGGGGAGTAATTCGATTTTTTTAAGCTCACAACTATGCAGGTAGCCCATCACAAGTAGAAGCATAAATGGGGAAAGAATATAAAATTCCTTTTTAATCTCACAACAATGCTGGGAGCTCGTTAAAAATTGAAATCCAATACAATGAATCAATTTTCTAATTTGTCTCTTCCTTTACTTACTTGCCATTTTTTCTTTTTTCTGTTCTGTTTCTCTCTTTATGGTCCTGCGGTAAAAAAAAAACAACTACTACAACTCAACAATGATGATGATGGTGATGCTCCTTTTGAAACCAACGGCCAAAAAACTACTCAACCAAATGACAAACAAACGGATATACAACCAATCAACCATTCGAACGCCGAAAAAAAACTCTGCTGTATCGAAAAAATCGAATATCACAAAAACAACAACGGTAACAACAACTCTGTGAAAACCTTTACAACATGCAAACATATGTATTGTGGCTATCCATAACAACTACTACTACAACTACACAACACAAATGTTACTAAAACCCCCAACGATACGGCAAAAAAAAAAAAACAACAACAAAATAGCCAAAAGAAATATCGGAGCCATCATCATCAATAGAGCATAATATTATCGAACAGCCCGTGTATAGCGGAAATGAAGAAAACGGAAATGGCGGAAATGACGATTATCACAGTAGCAGCAGCAGTAGCAGTAGTGGTGCGGGAAACGGCCACAATGGTATCAATGGCAATGGTAATGGCCACAACGGTGGCAATGGTAATAACAAATCGGGTATTACCAATAATAATGGCGGCGGCGGTGGTATTGGTAACGGTATTGGCCGAGGGAGATTGATCAAAAATGGTCGCAACGGCAATGGTAAACATGCCACACACAAGGCAGCTTCCACAGCTGATGATAATGGCAACGGAAACGGAAATGGTCATGGCAATGGCCACGTTAATGGCAACGGTAACGGCAATGGAGCTGGCGGCAACGGTGGCGTAAGCAACGGCATAAATACAGCCGGCGTTCTTAGCAATAATGGTGGTGGAGGGGCCATCGTTTCGACCATGGATGGTGATGGTGGTGCGGTAATTGTTGATTTCGATGATCAGACAATCTACGCCGAACCAATAGAAACAACTGAATTTGCGGTTTATGAATCAACAACCATGCCGACCACAACATCAATGACCACAACAACACAAGCACCAAGTAAGTACATAAACAATTATAAATATATGCATATATACATACATATTTACATACGGGCGTTTTGTAATATACATCACATATATCGATACAAATGTGCATATTTGAAATATTAAACGTAACCAAAAATTCCACTCCATATTTAAGCAGAATATTTAAAATTTTAGGATTTAATATTGGTGGATAGTTTTTATTCCTATACGGGGCTTAATTTCTATTAATAAAAGAGTAAATATATTGCCTCAACGCCCAGACATTACAGCTTTCAAATTTTGGAGATACGGAGTGTCAGTTAAGCTGGAATCCTGAAATTTGAAAAAGGCTAAATATGGTACCAATTGTATTTAACGAGCCGGTGAAACTAAAACTCTAAAATTTGGAATTATAAGGATATACAGCTTTCCAATTAGTAGTTTTACAATAGATTTTTTACTTATTGTACGAAAAATACTAAATCGAATTTGAAGTTTGGGTCACTGTTGGAGGGTATGAAATTTTGGAAATTTGTACTAATGTGTACTAAATGGTGCCAAAATTGAATTTGAGTGAACCAATAGTACTGAAATCTTGAAATTTGAAGTTAGGACCACTGTTGGGTTGTAAGATTGGTCTATGTATAGAGAGAATGACTGAAGTTTTGAAAATGTGTACTAAATGGTTGAAATTGGTTCATATTTAAGTATAGCGCCCATATATAGTGTCGTCCGATTTAATGTAAATGATGCACCAACCTCTTAAGGTTTATACGATTGAACTATATACAAATCTAAACCGATTTTGATATAGCTCCCATATATAGTTTCGTTCGATTTTATATAAATGGTGTTACAGAATTTTTACAGAATACAGTACGTGGAGTTTTCTTGAAATCGGTTCAGATCTAGATATAGCTCCCATATATATTACATTTTGGTGCGATTTTATGTAAATTGTGCCCCAAACTCCCAAGGTTTGTCCAATTGAGACAGGGCCGGCAATATAATATCCTTTACCTTCATTAGGGTTACAAAATTCTTTTGGTCCCGCTCAAGTACATATGGTGGAATATTGCTAAACATTTAAAAATATTGAACATTTTCAGGGTGTAAGCCAAATATGTCCTCCAGGAACCTTGAATATCAAATTACATCTTCATCGGTTAAATAAGGAGAGGGAGAAATATTTCAAAACATAGACCTTAAAATACTTAACATTAAAAAAAACGGGGAAACTTAATAGGACAATTTTATAATTTATGAAAACCAGTTTTTATATCATCAGGAATCCGATTCGGTTAAAAAAATTATTAATACCGAAATTGAGGCGGGAACGATATATGGCACAATATCAAAATTTGGACCAATATATACAATTTTCTGCAAAAATGTGTGTTTACACTGCAATATCCTGGAATGCCAAATTACAGTGGCTACAATGCGGCCAGAACCTTTAAACCACTGACAATGGGGTTCTACCATTATATGATGGCTATATCTGAACATGGACCTATATTGATAATTTTCTTAATGTACTAAAACCTAGAAAATTAAATTAGATGAGATTTTGAAAACGTGCCTAATCATTCCAATATACCGAATAATTGGAAGTACCATTATATGGGGGATATCCGTAAACTGGGGCCAATATTGAAGATTTTTGGTAGGGAGATGAAATTCCAAAATATATTATTTCAACCGATTTGATTGGAACACGTGCCAAAACTTCCCCAAAAATCCCAAAATTTACCACCCGAACTTTTTATACCCTCAACCATGAGGAAGATATTTAAAATACCTGCGGGCAATATCGTGGTAAATTTGCTCTGTGGGAGCTATATGTAAATATGAACCGATTTCATCAGTAGTCTGTGCAGAAATTTGTCTCTATCGGACCCATATTGACAGTATTGTGCTCCATTTACATAAAATCGGACGAAACTATATATGGGAACTATATCTATATCTGAAGCGATTAGGTTACTATCTTAGACACAAAGATATAATTTTGTACAGAAAATTACACTGTGCTACAAAACAACAAAAAAATTATTCAGGGGTTCTAATGTACCAATTATGTTTAGTTGGAGTCCCTCGACCACGAAAATAACTTTCATAGATTTTCAATTTGAAACGCGAATAACTTATTTTATTTCTAATGACCAAATTGGTCATCATGTCGCGATAACGCTCCCGATTGATGGTAACAGCATGGCCATTTTCATTTTGGAAGAAAAACGGTCCAATGACCGTTTTCGCACTAACGCCGCACCAAACTGTGACTTTTTCGTCATGAAGAGGCACTTCTTGAATCTCCTGAGGATTTTCAGTGGCGTAAAAACGGCAATTTTGCTTATTTACGGTCCCATTCAATGTGAAATGGGCTTCATCGGACATGATAATTTTGTTCCAAAATTGCTCGTCATCTTCGGCCATTTTGATGACTCTGTGAGCCCATTCCAATCGACGAGGCTTGTGTCGCAGGCAACATTCTTTGCGTCAATTGAATTTTGTACGGGAACAAATGCAAATCAATGCGAATAATCCGTTGTAAAGTGGACCAAGCCATGCCCAACTGCTGATAACGGCGTTTTTCGGATGTTCTTGGGGACCTCTCAACACTGGCTCGTACGGCAGCGTTATTCTCGGCCGATCGCCTTGGTCGACTTTTATATGGCCTCTTCGGATTAGAAAGAGCCTTACCAGTCGAAAATTTTTCGTATAAAGGCTTAATGGTGTTTTTAGAAGGCGCACTTCTCACATTTTTTAATGTTTTAAAATCACGTTGAGTTTTCACAATTGACTTCTTCTGTTGAATGTAAATTTCAACTATTTCAGAGCGCTCGCGTGGCGTGTATTGGTTCATGGTAAAAATCTGCTTGGACTGACGCTTCAAACGCGGTATGTCATTAAGCGATGTGACATCAAAAGTTATGGCGTTGCCAGATGGGTGCGTCGAATATGGGCAACCCTGTACATTAAGGCTTCGTCCCATTGTAGGTATTGCTATGACATGACTCAATTGATATAGAATTTTACTCTAATCAAGAATATGTATATTAGGGCGGGCCAATTTGTATGGAGCCGATTTTCGAGTCTCCCACTTTTCAAAAAATTTTCGAGTCTCCCACTTTTCAAAAAATAATTTTTTCCCTATAAAATAATTTTGATTCAAAATTCGATTTTTTATTCATCGTTATGTTATCTTTTTTATGTCCATATGGGGGTTTTTTGGGGTTTATTTTTACCTATGACCACCGCCAAGGGCGTTTCGAACATATTTAAACAATTTTTCGTCTATTTTCTGAAAAAAATATAAAAAAATCATCTCAGCAGAATTTAATATCATTCCCACATATTTTAAAATACACATTAAAGTATTTCAACAAACATTATTAATTTAAATCTGCGATTATTATCGTTTGTAATGTTATGCACTACATTATGACATTATGGACATACTTATGTACATATTAGTGCATATGTAATAAAAACCATTTTAGTAGCTCATAATAGAATAATGTAACACCAATGACATTCCGATATTTTTGTAAACATCATTAAAAATGCAAATAATGGTGAACTCCGCACATATTTTAGCCACACTTTCCGTTTCTGTTTCAAAATCCGATAGTGGTTACTATAGTAAATTTTCCACCGCACTAGTATATCAAATCATTAAATCCATCATTTAAATGCTTTACATAGCTATACACAAACGAACATATACATACAAATATTTGCATATATGAAGACTATAGGCTGTTGTTCCACATTAATTATCACCACACATACTGTGCGGATGTGCGGTAGGAGAATTGAATATTCGGAAAATATTTATCCATTTGCCGATTATGAGATTTGCTGTTTTTTGATGGTGGCACTCCCGCATCGTAATGGTGGAAGAGGTTCCATATATATACAAATAAACAATTAACATAGTGTACATAGTTATGTATGCATGTATGTGCGATAAATATTTAGTTATGGCAAATGTTATGACTCCATATTTGCCATTTATTATTGATGAATTTTGTAGTTGTTAGTTTTTTTCGTTTAATATTTTTGTTATTAATTTTTAAGTAATTATTTATTTCGTGTGTAATGTTTTGGCAGGAAAATTAAATTGTGGTCTAGTTACGATATGTGGTTATTATTTTTTGTCATATTGAAATTAATTTATGGTTACATGTCTGAAATTTCATTAAGAAAATTGAAAAATTATTTTTGATCGAATGATTAAGTGCTTGTTGATATATTTTTAATGGGAAATTCACACACACACACACATATACATATAAATTGATTTATGTGTATATGTGGAAAGGGGAATGTAGGTGGTTAGTTTTAAAAATAAGATATATTGGAGAATAGTGGAGAATAGCTCCACCAATATTAAGGAGAATCGAGGTCGAATTAGGTTCAAGTTATTTTTTTAGTAAATCATGTTTAGCATATTAATATTGTCATACGATTTGTAACCAATCAAATCCATGTTTTGGCATGATTTAGCGATTTAAAAGCCTCATGATGAAAGTGGATTTAAAAAAAATGTGGCCTGCCTTAAGGCAAAACGACATGGATTTTTTAAGCAATTTTAAAAACCTAAAGGCGTGGATTAAAAAAAAAATTTAGAGCCTACCTTAGCCAAAAGTCGTGGCTTTTTTAAACAATTTTTATAGCCCCCCTTAAGGTCAAAAGGAATGGATTTTTTAAATGATTTTAAAGCCTACCTTAAGGCCAAAAGGCGTGGAGTTTTAAAACCACTTTTAGAGCCTACCTTAATGCCAAAAGGCGTGGATTTTTTTTAAATAATTTTTAGAGCCTACCTTAAGGCCAAAGAACTTGGATTTTTTTTTGAACAATTTTCAAAGGCTACCTTAAGGTCAAAAAGCGTGGATTTTTTAAACAATTTTTAAAGCCAAAAGGGGCGTGGATTTTTTAAACAATTTTTAGAGCCTACCTTAAGGCCAAAAGGCGTGGATTTTTTAAACAATTTTTAGAGCCTACCTTAAGGCCAAAAGGCGT